TCTTAAGGTCCTGGGGGATCGTGTCAAGTAGTGGTTTGAAATTAGAAGTGTAAAGTTGGTTAATTTTGGTTGTAATTTTAATTCCCAGGTAGGGAATGCTATGTTTTTCCCAAGTAAAAGGGAAGTGTTTAGAGATTAAATTCTGTGTTGCTATGGGTGTATGGAGATTTAACATAGTTGATTTAGATTCATTCAATTTGTAGTATGAGACTGCTGCGTAGTTGTGGATATGCGTGCGTATCGATTGAAGCGATTTATAGGGGTTTGTGATCATTAGGATAATATCGTCCGCAAATAGACTAATTTTGTGTTAATTTTTAAGAAATTTAATTCCTGTAAAATTTGGGTCATCTCTAAGTTTGGATGCCAATGGTTCAATAAGTAAGGCAAAAATAATAGGGGAAAGTGGGCAACCTTGTCTGGTTCCGTTTGATATGCTGAAGGGCTGTGAAAGTGTGCCATTGGTCAGTACTCTAGCTGTAGGGTTAGAGTATAGGGATAGGATCGCCGATAGCATCCAGTCTGTTATTCCATATTTCCGGAGTGTAAGTATCATGAATTGCCAGTGAATTCGATCAAATGCTTTTTCTGCATCGAGTGATAGAAAAAGAGAAGGTTGGCTATCAGATTCTAGTTGGTGTATTAGGGATATAATTCGTCTAGTAGCGTCAGGGGCCTGTCTACCAGGTATAAATCCCACTTGGTCTGGGTGAATTAGTGTGGGTAGATATGGGAGTAGACGTAAGGCAATTATTTTGGCATATATTTTTATGTCCGTATTAAGTAATGAGATCGGTCTGTAATTCTGGACTAATTGGGGGTCTTTGCCCGGTTTTGGAATAGTGGTAATTAATGATTGTAGCATGTCAGAGGGGAATGTTCCATTAGAAGCAACGTGGTTATATAGGTCGGAGAGATGTGATGAAAGGTTAGATGCAAATGTTTTGTAAAATTCGTTAGTGAATCCATCGTTCCCTGGTGATTTGTTTAGAGGTAGGGAGTGTATAGTTTTTTCCAATTTCTGTGGGTGAAATCGGCACAGAGATAGATTCAAGTTGTGATAAAGTGAGTTGGGGGAGATTCGTGGTCTGTAGAAATTTTTCGATAGAGGGAATTGTTGGTTGGACAGTGTTCGGATCGTCTTTTATATTGTATAGGTTCTGATAGTAAGAAGCAAAAGCGTTGGCTATATCTAATGGGTTTGTCACTGGAGAGTGTGTGGCAGGGTGATGAATCGTGAATATTTTAGATTTGAGTCCTCTTTGTTTGATGATTTTAATGAGAAGGGAGTTTGGTTTGTTACTAAGCGAGTAAAATTTGTTTTTCGTTTTTTGGAGATTAGTGTCATACGTGTGTAGTAAAATGGTGCGCAATTTATTTCTGTCAGTGTTTAGGGCTGTGGATGTGGAAGGATTTGGGTTCTTTTTGTTTATTTCTTCATTTATGTGGATGGAAGTCAGTAGTCTGTCAATTTGTTGGGACCGTTGTCTTTTGATTCGAGAGTTAAGTTGTATGAGGATACCTCTCATGTAAGCTTTGTATGTTAGCCAAAGTGTAGTAATGGAGATATCAGGGGTAGCATTAGTTTCAAAGAAAAGGTTATGGGCTTCAAGTATATGTTTCTGATTTTCTGGAGATTTCAGGATTGAAGAATCAAGTCTCCAAATAGGCGGGATCGTTGTGCGTCGGTTGTGGTCTAAAGATATGTTGATTGGAGCATGATCCGACCATGTTATAGTTCCAATAGTGGAGGATGTCACTTGTTGTAATGTCCATTTGTCGGTAACAAACATATCAATTCTGGAGTATGATAGGTGTGGGGGTGAGTAGTAGGTATAATCCTTCTCGGTTCCATGTTGACATCTCCAGATGTCGTACAAGTCATGGTCATGTAGGAATTGGTTAAAGTTAAGTTTGGCAGGTTTTTTATTGGAAGATGAGTCCATAAGTGGGTTACCCAGAACATTAAAATCACCACCTATGATGAGTCTGCCTTGTTTATACTGCGAGATGACTCTGTAGAGTTTGCGGTAAAATTGCATTTGTTTATTATTTGGACCGTAAATGTTCACCAGGGTATGGGTTAAGTCATTTATTTGGCAAATCAAGATATGGTAGCGTCCTTGTGGGTCAGCTATGCTGGAAATAGTGCGAAATGAGAGAGAGTCATTAATGGCCGTGATAACTCCATTTTTCTTTTTGATGTTGTTAGCCATGAACAATTGAGAAAAACGGTGGAGATATAACTTAGGGGTCTTCTCAGTAGCAAAATGTGACTCTTGTATGAAAAGAATGTCTGCTTGGGATTTTCGGGCTTCTCTGGAGAGCATTGATCTCTTGAAAGGAGAGTTTAGGCCTCGGACGTTGAGGGATGTAATGTTAATCATTTATAAATCTATTTGTTAGGTATCTGTTTAGTTGGGTTGTTATTTGAGAGAGTATTGACTCAGTAGTTGTTTCGCTGAAGAGGAAAGTAATAGTGTAACTATGGTATATAGTATACCATAGTTACACTTAGCTAAGGGGTTAATTGTTGCTGGGAGGGTTCTACTGTTGAGGAAGGGGGGTCTATTGGTGCTTGCTGCTGGAGGTTCTCTTGATTTTGGCTGCTGGTTCATATGCGTTCCAGAGCGTTTTTGATTTCTTTCTTTTGGGTCTTATTGCTGAGCCCCTGAGATGATCTCCTGATAAGAGAGTACACCAACCCTGGCGATAGAGGATATAAAGTGATTTCGTGTTACTGTAAAGAGGCGCGCACCCCCCCTGGTGGTAGGAGACGGCAAGAGTGGTGCACTGGTGTTCCTGAGGGCTTCACGCTGAGGACCATCTGGCTGTGACCAGGAGTAGGTCATTATACTCCAATGCGCATGTATTTGCGCTATCTGGTTAGTGCATTATACAGTTATTCCCCTATCACGGAAGTCACGGATTTCTTTGGATACATCACAGAACTTATGATTTTAGCATCACCATCACTATATGCACCTTGATTAGTCGGATAGATCTGCATTACTCATCTGATGATTGTTTTAACAATTTAAGAATGTGGAATCTGGTGCATGTTGAAATATGAACATTTAATATGGTATATAGTAGGCTCGATTGGAGAGGCAAAATGCATTTTCCTTGTAAATTTGAGGGTTGTGGAACTTGTGGCATAGATGCGTAGCTGGTTGTGTCTTAAAGGGAGAAGGATAAGGAAGTAAAGAACGATAAAAAACCACTTGCGTAAAACGCAAGTAAACCGAGTAGCATGCATTGCTACTGCAAAGATGGGGGGTATGAACAGGCTTTGACCTCCTGAAGGGTCATGCCAACTGTAAACTGGTGTAGTAATCTTCGTCAGATCTAGGCCGATCGCCAGATATTGATATATCAAAAGGTGGCCTCTGGAGGGAGAGGCAGAAGTGCTTGATAATAGAAATTATCATGGTGCCCGTTATGATGCTTCCATATTTTGGATAGAGCCAGGTGCATTTTCTTGTGGGTCTGCGGGTAGGATATTCCAGACTTTGAGTAGGTCTAAGCCTGCTGCTAGGGATTTGATAGTATAGATCCTGCCTTGTTGTCGTACCGTTAGTTTTGTGGGGAAGCCCCATTGGTATGCTATTCCATGGTTTCTCAAAGCTTTAGTAATAGAGACCATTTTTTTCCTGTTAAGAAGTGTGGCTTTGGACAGGTCTGCATATAATTTGAGGTTTGCGTGGGATGGCGGTAATGGTGGAGGGTTTCTGGCCGTCGTCATAATTTTCTCTTTGACGTGGTAGAAGTGTATGCGGGCTAGTACATCTCTTGGAATAGATGCCGCCAAGAATGTGGGTTTAGGTAACCGGTGAGCTCCATCAATCGCCAGTTCTACATCAGAGAGTGACGGAATAAGGATTTTAATGAATTGCTGTAGGTAAAGTAGCAGTGAATCGTTGGTGACTGATTCAGGGATCCCTCTGAATTTAATATTGTTACGGCGTGATCGATCCTCTAAGTCGGCCAACTTGAGGTTGATTTGTTCTATATCAGATGAGTGGTCTGCATGTGCGTCAATCATGTCATTGTGAGCCGTGATTATGTCACCCATGCTAGATTCAATATGGCGAATTCTGTGATCTTGTCGTTGTATTGCGTTAGTAATTTGATTTAATGATGCAGAGATGTCATTGTGCAGTGTTTGACGTAGTGATGCTAGCATGTTTTTCATACTTATTTCTGTTAGTGGTTGGTCCGCTGCTGGAAATGCATCTATGTGAGGCAGGCATATTTGAGGTGACTGAGGAGGAAGGTTTGAGGCCTGATATGAGGGGTCAGGGTCCTGGTCCAGTCGTGGCCGAGATTTGGCAGGGCTGCTAGTCGTGGGGGACATTGGGGGTGACAACTCACCAGGGTCCCCTGGGTATAGCTGGTATTGCAGCCTCGGATCCGCTTGCTGGGCCCTGTAGTCCTCCTCGTGGCCGCCTCCTTCCCCCTGCTTGTGTGAATTGCGGGCGCCATCTTGGATTCCCAACATGACAGCCGGGAAGAATTGAGTGAGTTTCCCCGGCTGCTCCGGGGTTTTCCTCCTGCGGGGCATGACTCGTGAGGTGCGGGCACGCTTCAGGGATGTAACTGAGGTGATTTCCCCCTCCAGGGCTGGTGTGTGCCGCTACGATGCTGGCGGATGGACGGAGCTCACTCTACAGCGCGTCCATCTCGTAGCCGGCCGCGCATGCGCCCCTTAAATACACTTTAATAGTTTTAGCTCAAAGTTGTCTGCTAACACAATGTTGTCCTCATACAGAGGTAAAAAGAAAGCCCCTCCTGCATCCTTTCAGATGTTCTTGCAACCAAGGAGAGTTGGCCATTAGCCTGAAGCAATGAGAGGACAGCATTCACATCCAAAGTGATGCAGATGATGCTTTTCATACAACACTAGGAAATACTGTATATCCTGCCTGTCAGTGCTTCTTCTCCTCTGGGGCGCTTTGTGTGGGAAGTCCTATTTTTATATATACCAGTGATAACACAAGATGGAGCAGCCATACCTTTGTTCAGAGTGCGGGAACTGTTTTTCACAGAAGTCCAGCCTGCATATATATCAGAGAGCTCCCATGATGAATGCTATATCCCTGTTTTAAGTGTGGGAAATGTTTTCTCAGATAAATCTAGACTTTACATATATCAGAGATCTTACACAGGTGAAAAGCCATATATCTGCTGCCCTGAGTGCGGAAAATACTTTTTAGTGAAGCCCAGTCTTCACACACATCAGAGATCTTACACGGGGGAGATGTTGTATACCTGTTCAGAGTGTGGAAAATGTTTTTTCAGAGAAGCACTTTTCTACATATATGACAGAGATCTCTTACGGGGAAAAAGCCGTATTGTGGACAAGAGGATGAATGAGAGCGGCAAAAGTACTGAGATTAATATATTGCATGGGAACTGAAATGTATATATTGAACTATATGTTGAAACTGAGGAGGGGTTCACCCAAGGGGTCTTAGAGGAAAATCAGAAGGAGGACAATGTAAAACAGATAAATATCTAGAAGGAGAGGACCCGGGTAGATGAGTCCGGGAGTGGGGGGAGAGAAAAAGAAAGAAAAGAACTGAGAGGGGAAAACCCATGGAAGACAACAAATTTTGATATCAAATCAAAAATAGGCCTCCCCTCCCCCAAAATCAGAACTTCGGAAAATTGAAATAGTCCCTGACAGCATGAAAAACAAAGTATCAAAGGGAGGAGGGCCTAAGGCTTCCCAAACAGGGTCAATTAAAAAATACATACCCTCACAGGAGAAACAGACTCCAGAGAGACAACAAGGAATAAGTGTAAGAGGTGACAGGCAAAACGGCGGGGAATGTTCCAGACTATCCCTGGGAATAGCTAACAGTAGTCTATATATGGAAGAAGAAGTGGATATGGATAAAGTAAAAAAACAAGAGGAGAGCTCACAGATGCCTACTAAAGCAGAAATAGCAAAAATGTTTAAAGGACTTGAAAGATCCCTAAAACAAGAACTGGCGAAATTACAAAAAGACCTGGGGCAATATTATCAAGGGTGGGGGAGAAGAAAACTAGATAAACATGCCCAAATTATACAGAAATTTAAAAAAAGGGCGATGGAAATGAGAAAAGAACAAAGAAATCTGTTATTTAAATTGGAAGACCAGGAGCATAGGGATAGGAGATGCAATCTAAGGATACAAGGCTTTCCAGAGATCTCCCAAGCAGATTTGACAGGAATAATAACGAGAATGCTGAATACTATAATGGATAGATCTATAACAGAGCCTCTCAAAATGGATGGAGTCTATAGAATAGGAAAATACATACAAGAAGATAGACAGGAAAAGCCAAGAGATGTAATAGTGCAATTCCATAATTTTCGGGATAAAGAAGAGCTTTGGAATAAGGTAAAAGGAAGAGCAATAATAAAAATATGTAGAAATAAATATACAGATCTTTGCTGATTTAGCAGCGGAAACATTAATAAGAAGGAGAACTTTGAAATCGTTATTGGAACAGATGAGAAAAAAGAATGTTTGATATAGCTGGGGGTTTCCAGCGTGTTTGATCGGATGGAAAAATGGACGTTCAGCAAGACTGAGGGACTTTTGTGAGAGACTTGATATACAGAAAATAAATATCCCTGGTTGGGAGGAAGAAGGAGAAATGCGGGCTTTGGAAAATGAGGGGAGGCAGGTAGCTCTAAGGAGAAAAATAAAGAGTAGGAATAGTAAAGAGGAATAAGCTTTTTTTTTTTCCCTCTCTCTCCCTCCATTGCTGCCTCTCTCCTATGATCTTTGAAGTTTACTAGAGTATGGCAGGACACGAGGATGAGACACGCTTATTGGGGAAAAGTTCATGGTCAGAGCTTCACCCTAAAAGCTGAATCAAAGGTGGGGTTAGGACCACAAATGATTCAGGTAAAATGTAAGCCTAAAGCAGTGTTTCTCAATTCCAGTCCTCATGGACCCCCAACAGGTCATGTTTTCAGGATTTCCATTATTTTGCACAGGTGATTTGATCAGTTTCACTGTCTTAGTAATTACCACAGCTGTTTCATCTGAGGGAAATCCTGAAAACATGACCTGTTGGGGGTCCATGAGGACTGGAGTTGAGAAACACTGGCCTAAAGGAAGATGTGGGGGGGGCAGGGGGAGGGAGAGGAGTGGAGTGGGAGGGAGGGAAGAGGGGTGGAGGAGGTACTGGAGGGTGGGGGGGAGGAAGGTATGGGGAGGGGATAGGTAGTTTAAGACTCTGCGAAATAGTGGGAGAAACATCAGTCTGGAGAAATCCTAGAGATCAAAGGGGAAAGAGGAAGAGAGAAGAGATGGGGAAGATAGAGGTGTGGATAGGAGAATAATGGAAGAGATTCACTTTGTGACTTCTAATGTTAAAGGGTTAAATAGCCCTGGGAAGAGATTTGGGATTTTTAAAGAATTTCAACATAGATTTTCTTCAGTGTTTTTTTTTTACAGGAGACACATTTGGTGCAAGAATCATATGTGAAATTAAATTCCAGATATTATTCAATGTGGTTTTATGCAGATTCCCCAATTAAACATGCCAAGGGAGTGGAAATAGGAAGGAAGGAAGATTTCTGTTTCTGAAGGGAAAATTACAGGAAATAGACTGTACATCAGCAAATATTTATTGCCCGAATAAGAAACCGGAGGTATTCCTAAAAAATACTCTGAGGAAGTTAATGGATTTCAAAAAAGGCAATTTAATTGTGGCAGGTGATTTCAATCTCTGCATGGATCCCCAGATGGATATGACGTCCCCTGTGCAGAGAGATGGTAGTAGGTCTCTGAAATCCTTGAAAAAAATGATATACCAATGTCAGCTTGTAGATATATGGAGAATTAAGCACATGAAGGACAGAGATTATACTTTTTATTCTCATGCACATGAGATATATTTAAGACTGGATTATATATTGCTGGACCATCGACTTATCGAGTCTCTGGTCAAAGTAAAAATAGAAGTAATGTCAATATCGGACCATGCCCCTGTCACAATGCAATTATTATGGGGAAATGAGCAGATTGGGGGGAAATTATGGAGGTTAACTGAGACACTTCTCCAGAATTCAGAGGTGGATCAAAGCATTAAAAAAGAAATAGAGCAATTTTTTGAGGAAAATTATTCTGGGGACATGTCCATAGCAACAGTGTGGGAGGCTCATAAGGCCTATATTAGAGGAATCCTGGTAGCGATTGGAGCAAAAAAGAAGAGGGAAAGAAGAGAAAAAATAAACACGCTTTTTAGTGAACTCTGTGTGTTAAAGCAGATACATAAAGTAACAAAAGAGATTATGCAGAGGGTAATAAATAAAAGAGAAGAATTAAATAAATTCCTGGAAGAAGATAAGAGTGTTTAATAAAATGATAAGTGAGAGATACAGATGGGGAGATAGGCCAGGAAAGTATTTAATGAGAGCTCAGAGAAAAAACAAATCTAGGAACTATATAGAGAAAATAAGAGACCACAAAGGAGAATTAATGTATTCAACTAAAGATATAGCTAAAGTGTTTAAAAAATATTATAAAAAGCTATATAATATTATCCCCCACAGCTCCACAAGTAAAGATTAAGTAGGAAAAATAGAAAAAAGACAGACATACTTAAAAAAGGCAGGATTACCAAAATTAATTGAGGAGCAATTAAAATCCCTAGAATCAGCAATAACGCAAGAGGAAATACACTTAGCATTAAAGAGCACTATAGCTGGGAAAAGTCCAGGACCTGATGGATGCACAGTGAGATATTATAAAAAATATAAAGAATTATTAGTACCTAAACTGAGGATATATATGAATGCATTGGGAGGAGAGATGGAAATCAGGAGGGAATCCCTACAAGCCCATGTAGTTCTCATACATAAGGAAGGTAAAGATGATAGTCACTGTTCAAGTTACAGACCGATTTCCTTATTAAACACAGATACCAAACTATATACAAAAGTTCTGGCAAACAGGTTGAAAGACCTAATGTCGGAATAGATACACATAGACCAAGTAGGCTTTGTCCCAGGGAGAGAGGATAGAGATAACGAACTGAGATCTATGTTTCTCATACAAAAAAGTAGGAAAGAGAAAATCCCTGCGGTGGTACTCTCTATCGATGCTGAAAAGGCATTTGATAGAGTAGATTGGGGATATATGTTGGATACATTGGAAGTATTGGGGATGGGACCTAGAATGAGAGAGTGGATAAGGAAATTATATAGTCAACCCTCTGAAGCAATCATGGTTAATGGGGAATTGTCAGAGTATTTTTTGGATGCAGATCGGAACTAGACAGGGATGCCCTTTGTCTCCATTGCTATATGTTTTATCATTGGAATCTCTTTTTTCTACAATAAGGAATAATATAGATATAAAAGGAATTTGGATATGAGATACGGAGCATAAGGTGGCAGCTTATGCAGATGACATGCTGTTCTATGTGGGAAACCCAAGGATAACATTGCCAAATTTAATGAAATTACCGAAAGAATATGGGGAGATGTCAAATGTAAAAATTAACCCAACAAAAACTTTAAACATAAATTTTCCAAATAGAGAGAAAAATAGGTTACAGGAGGAATTTCCCTTTGTTTGGAGAGAAAAAGAATTGAAACATCTAGGAATAAAATGAACTGTATCCTCCAAGAACTTGTAGACATTGAATTATATTCCATTGTTAAATGAGATCAGGGATGAACTAAGGAAATTAGGAGGGGAACCCCGTCATGGATAGGTCGTATAAATTTGATAAAAATGGTGATTGTTCCAAAAATATTATATACATTTCAAATGATACCAATGAAACTACCAGAGATACTTTAGATCAATTAAAAAATGTTAATAAGATTTATTTGGAGGAATAAAAAACTGAGAATAAGCCAGGAAATTCTATGTAGAAATAAAGAGAAAGGGGGATTGGGAGTCCCAGATTTAAAAAGATATTATAACTTGGTAATAATGGTGAGAATGTTTGACTGGACATATAATGCAGAGGGGAAAGACTGGGTTAAAATAGAAAATATACTAAGTAATACTAAATTTAGTGGAAATGTATGGTTACCTCGACAATACAGAGGATTAGCAGACAGTTCAAGTTTGTTCACATTTAATGTTTTAAGAGTTTGGGATGTTTTACACAAACAGATGGGATGGGAATTTAATTAATTGTTAATGCCCTTAAAGTCCATAGAGTTTTTCCCCCCGGGTAAAGAAGGTATCACAGGGAAGTGGATTAAGAAGGAAGATGCACAATTAAGGGATATAATGGTGGGGGAGGTTGGACATGGTGCTGGTCGGGAGATTGAGGTGCGATCTCAAGACACCCAGCTCCTCCAGCGTCCCGCCAAGTAAGCACGGAGATCAAGGACGGTAGAGGGGGCTCACCTGTTGTGGCTCCAGGCTGTCTGGTCTGTCTCCCGCAGACCTCCGT